TCTGATCAATCCCTATTTATGTTTCTTGGAGACAGATGATACATTTGACCACTTCATTTCTACATGGGGTGTAAAATAATAAGAGCAACCAGCCTGCTAAGAATTCAAAGCCAGATGGTGTATATGTGTGTCATGCTGAGCTGATGGTTTGGAAATGCCAGCCCTGCAGAATGGCTGGAGCTGAATAATACTTCAAGGTAATCCTGCTTAAGGCCCACTTGTACATCTCTATACAATGTAYACATTTTATCCAATTAGTGTAGTGRATTTTAAGTTGTATTGGAAGTATGATATACACACAAGCAATAGAAAAACAGATGAAAGGTCACTAATGAGATTTGTTAACTGTCAGCTCAAATCAAACTCTGATAAAAATGGCAGAAATCTACAGTGGTTTACAATATTGGCAAACTGCTTCTAAAGCAAATAACCAAAAGTCAGTCCATTCTCCAGGGAATAGTAGGCTGTTTCATAATTTTCAAAGATTTTCTTTTGATCATGTGAGTTAAAGACAAAGATTGCTTTTTCTTTGTAGTGCTGAGGATCAAACCCAGGGCCTCTCACAGAATAGGTAAGCACTCTACTCCTGAGCTCTGTCCTCAGCCTAATATCTGAAGTAAAGGAACAAGAATAAAACCTCCAAATTTCCTCTGTCTCCTTACATTCAGAATCTAGAAGATAGTTTTACGGCTTCTGCATTTCTTGACCTCCACCTTCTCACTTGGGGAAATCTGTAGCAATGCAGGTGAGGAGGTGCCTACTCTAGTCACAGGAAGGGGAACCAGCAGAGAGGCCAGAGAGTGAGAGGCAGCCACCCGGGTATGGCACTTTAAATAAGATGATGATGAGGTAGCCATAGAAAAGTGTAGACCCCATTCATATGTGCTGTTAACCATGCAAATTTGACAAAATGTTGTTTAGCCTATTATGTGTATATTTTTAGAAATTATTTTTCTTTTTTAAAAATTTTTTCCATTTTATTTATTTATTTCTTACATAGATGACAATAGTGGAGTGCATTACATTCATACTTATCCATTTACAGCACGACTTTTTGCAATTCTGAATATAAAGTATGTTCAAGCCAAATTATGCCATTATACACGAGCTCTCTTTTTTTTGTATACAATTCTTAATACACCTTTATACCACCATTTATCATATCTCTGTTTGTATATAAGGTATGTTAACACCAAATTCACATCTTCATACATATATTTTGTATAATGATGACCATCTCCTTCCACCATCCTAGCTATTCCCCTTCTCCCTCCCTTTCCTTCCCATCCCTATGCCCTATCTAGAGATAATTTTAAAATATGAAATTGTTTTCCCCCTTTTTCATTTTAAAGTTCCCTTACATTGCTATTCCTTTTTAAAAAGTCTTTATAAAAGTATCTGCATCCCAAGAATCAGCAAATCATTCATTTATCCCCCCMAAATTTTATTAAGTAATTTAGTTTCATGTTAAATTAGTTTCTTTTTCCTCTCTTTTGAAAGTCTGTTATTTAGGTATAAATATAATTAAGATCATTTTACCTTCTTGATGATGTGAACTTTTTATCTATAAAATGTACCCCTTTTTTTTGTAATTCAGGTCAATATCCTCTATTTAAAATACTTGGGATCAGGGCTAGGGTTGTGGCTCAGTGGTGAAGCACTTGCCTAGCATGTGTGAGGCACTTGGTTTGATCCTCAGCACCATATAAAAAAAAAAAAAAAAACTAAATAAAAAAATAAAGGTTTTGTGTCCATCTGTAACTAAAAATATTTTTTAAAATACTTGGGATCAGAAATGTTTGATTTTGGGATATTTGCACATACACAGTGGGATGGATATCCTGGGGATGGGATCCAAGTCTAAACACAAAATTCATATATGTTTACATACATATTATACAATAGTCTGAAGATAATTTGTACACCATTTTTAATAATTGGTACATAAAACACAGTTTATATTGCTGCTAAAGGGGCTTGGAGGATCGTTTTTCCCGTTGGGTATATGGAATAAACTGTATTGTGCACCTGCACTTTTACTGACCCATTTCAAGGTCTATTTCTATTTGTGGCATCCTGTTTGGCACTCAAAATGTTTTGCATTTTGGGGCTGGGGATGTGGCTCAAGTGGTAGCGCGCTCGCCTGGCATGCGTGCGGCCCGGGTTCGATCCTCAGCACCACATAMCAACAAAGATGTTGTGTCCGCCGAGAACTAAAAAATAAATATTAAAAATTCTCTCTCTCTCTCTCTCCTCTCTCACTCTCTCTTTAAAAAAAATGTTTTGCATTTTGGAGCATTTTAGATTAGAGATATTCAACCTATATAATTAATCGTCACAAAATCAGCATCTAAAAAAATTGATTCATGTATTTAGAATAGAGGTCTGGTTGTTTACAATGGAAAAGGAAGTCTGGGATCAGATACTATATCTTGGGGTTTTGAAGTGAAAAGTAGTAGCAAATTCACTTGTGTTTGGAAAGTATCGCAATAATTGTAACTAGAACTATTTTTCTTGCACTTAYCCACCACTAAGTTTCCCAGGATGCATTAAAAAAAATAATTGTTTTCGAAATATTTTTCTTTATCAGTACCAAGCCAAGATTCTCTTTCTTTTGCCTATAAACAAAAACCCTGCGGAATTTATACATACACTACAGTGTCTTGGCCTTTGAGCTCACCAAATCCTGCTGTGATTAGCCAATCTTTAAATCTARGGGGAACTTAGGAAAGGAATGAAGAGACTAGCTAATTATATTCTAAAAGTATGGAAGCCATATTTTAACTTTTATTTTTAATTAATTTGGACTTATTCTACACTACAAATTTTTTTGAGTAATACAAAAAACTTTCAGTATGTCCAGTAATCAACTTCAAGAAATAAAACACTCTCAATGTAGTTGAGGCCCTTGTGTCCTTCACCCACTGTCATCTTCCTTCCAGAGGCACCTGAATTCAGTGTTACCAATTTCCATATTTTACTAATCTACCTATTTTAATTCATGCACCTACATCCTCATATTTATCTTTGTATTTTTTGAAATTTATTTTGATTATGTCAAAATACACCATTCTTTTCTTTTTTTTTTTAGTTTCATGGTTTGCTGTGAAAATTAAAAATTGATATATAATTAGAATTTCATTGTATGAATTCAGTACCCTATATTTATCCAACTTTTTTGAAGTAATGACTGCTGAAATTAATTGTCAGTAGGTGTAATTAGTGCATATGTGTGTACTCCAGGGAATGTCTTCATTGTTAAGTTACTAGGAACATATGCTCGTTAAGTAACTAGATATTGTCAGCCCCAACCAAGGTGGTTGTCCAGATTTCCATTCCCACTATAAGCTTTCTGGTTGTTCTACATCTTTATAAAACTTGGTACTGTCAGAATTATATTGTAAATCATTATACTGGTGAGAATTGCCATTGGCATTTCTGTGGTTGTCACACAGGGCACCTTAATGTTTACTGGCCAGATTAGCATGGAGTTATTATTCCCAGGCATGAGCACCCCAATGTCTCACACTCTAGTAGGACTGACAGATTCAAATGACTAAAGTCTTAAAAATAATATAGACAAATGTCCTAAGTAGGAAATTATTCCCTGAGTCACTTAAGTTACTTCTGATTATCAAAACATGTGCGTCTCCTGTGTCATTCTCAGTTGTGACAGCCTTAGCTTCTAATCCAGTTCTGGCTGTAGAAAGAATGACAATAAACCTTAAGCCACTGATGCTCAGGATGAGGCTAAGTCATAAGGAAACACAGAGCACCCCTCCAACTAAGATGGACTGAGATCAGCAGGATTCGGGGAGCCCTAGAAAGCCTACATCAACCACACCGGGGTTCCTGTGCTGAGCAAAGGGACGGACCTTGATGCTCTTTAGGCCTGTATGCTGTGCCTAAGTGAGGAATCACCCACAAAGCTTTCACAGACTTTCCACTGCCTGTGTGGGGAAAAAATGTTTTAAGTACTTGTTGTTTTCTGAAGAGGTGATGAGTAAAATTGTTTTACAAATTATTTCTAATAGAAGCAGCCAGAAAAAATTTCCCTGAATCTACCRTTGGTGCTAAGTAGATAAGGTTTTGACCCCAGGGAGCACACGTGCTGTCCCTTCTATAGTCTGAATTGTCATTTGCTTTCCTATGTGAGAGTATGTTGCCTGACTCACTCAGCTCTGGATCACCAGTGCCTTTATCCCCATGTTGGAACTCCACTCCATGTCAATGGTGTGCAGTATTTCAGGGTGCTCTGCCTGAGATGGCACAAGTGACAACCCAGCTGATGGCACTAATTCAATTTGCTGTTGATACTGAGAGCTCTTCTGGGAAAACGTGTTGGGTATCTCTGTTTATATTACTTTGGAAATATTTTATTTCACACATACTGAAAAACCAGAGGAGGAGGTCAGTTAGTTCAAGTTTGCTGACAGAAAATTGATCTATATCAGAGTCTGGATGATTGTGCTCAGTTGATTTCTTTATGACTTCAAGACAAGATTTCTACTACTTCCTTTGTTGGGAGAATGTCTAAATTAAGAGATTAAAGCCGAGGAAAGCTTCTTCACGTTTAGACTGAGTTATCTTGTTTATCATTCACACTCCCCTTGTCCTTGTGTTTCCACTTCTTGGATGTTCGCTGAACCTCTCTGGTCAGTATAAATAGAGGCTCCAGGATCACAGAAGTGGAGTGTGCTGATGGATGCTGCTTTCTGTTGGGCCTCCTTGGATATGTGTGTGCTTGTGTGTGTTGCACTTATGTGTGTTGCACTTGTGCTGAGGTGAGTGCAAATGGAAGTAGTGTTTATAAGATAACTCTTCTCACCTATAATGGCAAGTTGTAAATATCCTGTTTCCTATTCCTAGGTCCAGCTCTTCAGTGGGGCCTTTGATCTGCTTTGACCCTGGGTTGTGTTGCAGAAGTGCAGTTCACATTCTGTTCCACTGCTCGGTGTCTCTGTGCTTGTTGATGAGTTCCTGTGCTTGTCTCCCTACAGGTTATCCAGGCCGTCTTTTTCGGGATCTGTGTGCTGACTGATCTTTCTAGTCTTCTGACAAGAGGAAGTGGGAACCAAGAGCAAGAGAGGCAGCTCAAGAAGCTCATCTCTCTGCGGGACTGGATGCTGGCTGTGTTGGCCTTTCCCGTTGGGGTTGTGAGTATGATGTAGAATGCATTTATCCACCAAAAAAAAAAAAAAAAAAAGCATGGATCTTATTTCAGATTTTTAAGATAGAAAAAAATACACGTTATAGGAGATTGATTTCTTCCTTTCTATCTCTTAGTGCTGAGGATTGAAGCTAGAATCTTGTGCATGCTAAGCACACGTACTAACACTGGGCTGCAACACCAGCCCCGAGGTCTAGATTTAGATTTAGATGAGTTCACTGGGCTGCCAATACCCCAGACTGGAGGGCTTAACCAGCAGAAGCTTATTGTCTCACACTTCTGGAGTCTGGAGGTCCAAGATCAAGATTAATCGGCAGGGTTGGTTTCTTGGAGGCCTCTCTCTTTGAYTTCTAGATAATCACCATCTCACTGTGTCTTATATCTCCTTCCCCATGTGCTGGTCTGTACTCTAATTTCTTTTTTTTTTTTTTATAAGGAGATCATTCATATTGGGTCAGGATGCCCCTCCTGGCCTCATTTAACCTCAGTTCCCTCTTTAAARGCCCAAGTGTTATCACCTCCAGAGGTTCTGGGGGGTTAGGACTTCAACATGAGACTTTTTGGGGGGCACAGTTTAATCCATATGGTGTCTTAAACAGCCCCAAACTTGAAATGTATGTAATTTGATTAGATACTTGAGTTTTTTTTTTTTTTTTTTTTTTTGTATTGTTTTGCTTTTTAGTTTAGGGAGAAATCAGCAGTAGTTCACCCTTGTTAACTTATTCAAGTTGTCAACTGTGCCATTAGTTAACATCACTTAAGAAATGCCACTGAATGTTTGGATCCATTCTTTGTTTGTTTCCAGTTAGATTCTCCCCATAACTCAACTTCCTTCCCTACATTTGCCCATAAACCTTGTTTCTTCAAAGTCTCCACAAGACTGTAGATTTGAACTTGTGTATAGCCAGGAGAAGAATGAGAGAATTCTATATCTCAAGTTGTGAGGACAGGTCCGAGTGTTTTACCTAGTTCAAATTCAGACCTCTCGCTTGCCATCTTTTACCTGGAGGAGCAGAAGCACCACTGATGTAGGCACCAAGAGCACCAAGTCCAAGGCTCGTTGTCAGAAAGTTATGCCCAGATCCTTCCTGTGGCTCTTCCTCATAGTGGCCAGAGGCCCCATGTGTGTGACAGTTCTTTTTCTGTGTGCTGAGTTGCATTTTCTTGGGTGAGATAGCCCTTAGTTCCCGAGAACTGCGCAAGGGCAAGGGGGTCTTCACAGCCAGTCCCTGACCCCTCGTTCCTTGTCTTCTGAAGGCCACTGGGCCAGTGCCCAGATCCAAGYCATCTAGCAGATCTCTCAGGTTCTGTCCTTTACATAACGGATCTAAATGCTTTACTCTGTCATTTGACTTTGTATTATTTCATATTCCTTCTTTGAACTTGCTTCTAAAATTCAAATACCTTGCATCAGAATAGCCATAGAGAAGAAAATTTTCTCTAGCATGAAGTGTAAAGATGTACACTTTCTGCATAAAAGAATTATCTAGATATTCAAGTCTGTGTGTCCATATAGTTGGTGTGTGTGTGTTTCTTTTTTTTAAACTTTATAATTCTATAGGAGTATCATTGCCTCTGGAAAGTCTTCATTGGGTAAAAGGAATACAATAGTAATACAATAAAAGTAGGAGCACAGATAAGGGCATGTTTTCTCTTAGCTCCACGTCTCCTGTTAACTGATGTCAGAGTGATTCCACAGGAGCATTCTGACTTAAGGTGTAAATTTTACCTGCTTCTCAAAGGCTCATTGCCTATGCTCTTTGGATGGTTGTGAYATTCTTTGGTGGGAAATTTTTGCACCTTTTTGTGCTTGAGACTTGAGGTATTCATCAACTTTGAGYGTTCTTCCTAAATTCAGTGTGGGTGTGTTTCACAGGTGTGAGTTTGTGAGCCTTTTGATTTGCTTCTGTGTTTATTACATCTGATATTTTCATCTGTGATTCACTGTTTTTGTTGATTTGTCCATATTTTGGAAGAAGGAAAGGAGTAGCACTTCTCTTCATCTCCACRCCCTTGTTAACCAGAAGTCACAGCATCACATTGTCACAGCACAGTGTACAATTTTCCTGGTGACAAGTTCCCGAGCAGGGGGCCAGCCTCGGCCTCACACCTGGTACCTCCATCCTGTGCCACCCGGCACACAGGAGGTGATCAATGTTCTGCAGTCATAGAAGAGAGTAAAGTGGTAGTGATGAATCACAGATATGCAACTTGTTGATTTCTTCCACTCATTTTTTCCTTGGCCACTGGTATCTTATAGTCACTATTTTCATTTTTCATAATCTTTCTTATTATTATAGTCTGTTTTTTTAACTTCCTTTAGTTTCTGTTRCTTTTCTTTGTTCTCCTTCTTTCTTCCCTTCCTCCCTTTCCCACTCTTCTTCAATTAAGAACAATCTTGGCCAGTATTCTCTTGAAATCTTATGTTTTCTACCATTTATACCTTACTGTGTCATTTGGCTTTGTATCTCTTTACCCAGTTTCTTCCACATTTCTAACTCTAATGCACAGAAATTCATCTTGAGGCAAAAATTTWAAAAAATCTTGATAAATGGATTCTTTCAAGATACATTAATTTTATTGTGAAGTCATGCATTTTCTCAGAAGGGTCTAAAATACTACTGTAGTTTTATTCTTTTTTGTGTGTGTTTGTGGTCCTRGGGATCAAACCCAGGGTCTCACATGTGCTAGGCAAGTGTCCCTACCACTGAGCTACACCCCCAGCCCATTTAAAATTTTTATTTTCTTATAGGGTCTCAATAAGTTGTCACKGTACTTGGCATTGCATTAGAGTTTAAATTCGATTTTCTATATGTTTCCTAAGGAAATAGAAATTCATAGATGCCTCATCACTAGTAAAAACAATTTTTAGATGATTCTATAAGAGGTTGGCACATATTAAATCTTCACCGACTCTTCAAGATACGATTAGAATGTCWGAAATAGTGACTTAATAAATAACTTTAAGACTAAGCTCAGATAATAAAGACAGATTCCTGAAACATTCATTCAGGCACATACTGCCTTGCTCTGTGACTGTGTACTCTAATCCCAGGACAGGACAGGCACAACTTTCAGGGTCCCCTCAAACCCACCCAGCAAAAGATATCTGCACCTTCAYAGGGGCAGGGCAGCATCTGGGCTACAGCAGCCACCCCAAGGCGTTACCAAGACAAAGATGTACTGGCGAGGTAGTGAAATTTGATTGTGTGCATTTTTCAAGCAGAATAACAAATGAATCCAGTGCCTAGAGTTGAATTTATGGAAAATGTACAATTGTTCTTCATTAAGAAGGCTGCATTGGATTGCCACTGGGGACACATTTAGGGTTTTGGGAGAAGGACACTTTCATACTCATCTTACTCTTTGTTTGTTTGTTTGTTTTTTGGTTAGAAGTATAAGCTTACTCTTTTTAACTAGAGTGGTATCTTGCCAGCACAAAAGTCAACAAACACACAAAAGACAAAAGACATTCTTGGTTTGATTGTTCCTAATAAACTTCAGTGCTTCCAGACCACATAATGTCATAGAATTATTTGTAATGCTTCTTTAAAAGGGTGACAGGGTTCAGAAATAAACTGCACATGGTAAGAAGAGCCTCCCGTGGGTTATCCCTGTGAAATGAATTGCAAGGCTTTGGGAGTGSTGGTGATTTCCGGCCATTAGCATTACTAATCAAGGCCAGCTTTGCATTTGTGGGAATCGACACAAATCAAGATGATACATGCTCTGTTCACTCAAGCAAAGCTGCCTGATTTCTTCAAGGTCACACTGAAACAAACCTTTACTCCAATTATCTTTGATTGGAATGTTTCATTATTTTTATATATCCTTGAGGTAAGAGAGAGCTTGAAGTAGATGTATTAGGTCCACGGGTCACCAAATCATATTTAGTGCTCCATGCTCACAGAAAGCAATTACTGTCAACTCTCAATTAACCTTGTTCCTGGAGGATGCATTAGTGCAGAAATTACAAATCCTGCATAACCCACCCTGTCTTCCTTGATGCCTTCGTTGCAGCTGTGAGATGTATGTGCACATGTGTGCATGTGAGAGAAAGAGGGAGAGTGGGAGCACCAGGAAAAGCTTGGGCCAAACAGTCTCTCATGCCTGTACTATGAAGCAAAGGTAACACTGCTTCCTCAGGAACAAACTGACAAGAAGTGTGAGGTAGAGGAAACCTGTTACAGCAAGGAGCACTGGGCGTGGTCAGCCAGGCACCTTGCAGCCAGAGCAGCAGAGCAGAAAAGCCCTTAGGACACAAGGGTTTCCAAACACAGAGTGGATACTTTCTACCTTAGGTTGCTGGAGCTAGGACCTGTGCTCCCCTCATGCTCCAAAGGTGCTTAGTTGTTTTGCTCTCTGGAATTCTGTTTGCATCAACCAAAATGATGAAAGGCGTTTACTTCACATGTTATTATGAATCATGTGCACATATGGTAAGAATTCTTAATGCTACAAATTCCTGCGGGTATTATAACTGTGCCCATCAGGTACTGGCCACAAATGCTGTTTCCATCCTTCTGCAGTTGTGAGCCCCATTGGCTGGGCATCTCCCTTCAGGGCYGGGAACCACAGGAAGAGTAAAGTGCTTCTTCAGGTGACTCCTTGTGGCTTTGCTCCAGGAAACGTTCATATTTAATAAGGAAGAAAGTTCTTGTTTTATTATTACCACTTAAGTTGGTTGGGCACATGCCTGTAATACAAGTAACTCAGGAGCCTGAGGCAGGACGATCACAAGTTTAAGGTTAGCTGGGCAATTTAACAAGACCCTGTCTCAAAATAAAAATAAAAAAGGACTGGGGATGTAGTTCAGTGACATAGTGCCTGTGGGTTCAGGCCCCAGTACTGGGAGGGGACAGGGGAAGAAATAAAGGGAAAAACTATTACAATAAAATAAAATAAATCTCTGATGCAAACTCCACGAAAAAGTATATTGCAATTATTTTCAAAAGTAATTCCTCACCAGGTGTGCTGSCACATGCC